GATATTACAGACACATACGATGATTGTTAGACCCAACACTACGGGGATAAAAACATACAAAACAGATTCAAATGAACTCGAAACGTTTAACAAAGTCATTAATGTAGACAGCAAGACAGCGGAAGACCAAAGTAAGAAAATGGCGATGCGGTATGTTCTGGTGGATAATGAACGGTGTTTAAAGGGCCAAAATACGGCATAAAATCGCTCACAAGAAATAAAGGCTGCAGATATATACGAGCCTAACAAAAACGTATCATCGAAACTTGTGTAAAATATTTTGTAGGCAATGTGTTCAAAGTCATATTTTGCTGTCCAAAGCTGAAAGGCATCTCCAACGAGGAAAAGGTAAAAGGGCAGTGTGAATGCTCCTAACATCAAATCAGCAAACGCTATGTTCATAACTAAAAATAAACTTTTCCTACGAAGTGGTTTGGTAACTGCAAAGAGAACCAGAGTGAGCAAGTTTCCTGCAATGATAAGGACCGAAGATAAAATGAGAGCGCTGCATAGTGCAATCCCTTTTTCCTTGGAGGGAAAACTTCTTGTGAATGCAGACGCATTCTCCATGGTTTTATTCACTGCCGACGAGTCAATCCTATAAACTTATGACTAAATGAATTACGGTTAACAGTTTTTTTTTTCGGAATAAAACGCGTTGTTTCAGAGGAGAGGAACTTGCAACAACACCAAGCAACAGCAGCTGAAATGTTATTTGTATTTCGGGGTAATTATATTCAAGGAGTAACGTAGTCCAGGTAGACAAGACATTTCAGGTTCAACTAATACTGTCAATAAAATGGCTTTTCATCAAAGAACGTAACAGGTGTCCATGTATTTTCCTGTTGAAATGGCAAGAATTGCTCAGTTTTACAATTGTTAAGGTTTTAACAAACTTCTTATGTGACTCAAAATCTCTACACTAACGGACTAGGACGTTGTCCTTTCTCAATGAGAGATAATCTTCATTAGTGATAGACGAAAGGTTTAATAACACTTCAGTATAATTAGCTCTAGACACATGCTACTCGATGCAAAGTTTAATTTTGCATCAAACAGTCATCGTACATCGTTGAAATTAAACGAGTCACA